AGATCATACACCTTGTTTCATCTCAGTGATTGCTATCCCATCCATGCAACAACAGTTAATCTATTTCCTGTCTATGGTCATATTTCCATTCCACTCTCCTTCCCATTCTTCTCAGCTTTGTCCTTAGTAGAACGTTGCCCTTTTGATTTTCAATGATTGACCGTTCCATTGTGAGCATAGCTTACTAGTGTTATTGTCTGTCCCCTTAAATACCTGTCTACTGCTTGACTGAAAATTGGGCCATGAGGGTGAGTTCTGTTCTAGACCTGAAGAGTGATCAAGGGCCATAATCTTGTATTCCTCCAGTTTCCTGCTCCTTTTGATTAATAAGTCTGTTTTTGTTTTTTTCCTTATATATATAATTTTGTGTTTTCTTACACATTTCTCCCACTCTATCTAAGACCTTCTAATGGAATCCCTTTCAGAGCAGTTGGTATGGGTAGGTGGGCACCCTCTAGTTTTTCTGGTCTTAGAGTTGTGGAGACTGATGCTCACCTGCTCCTTTGTTCCATTGGACTAGATGATTCCAAGAGTTTTCAATTTTCATCACTCTTCCTTTGCACATGAAGAGAACAATAGTTGCATCTTTAGATAGCTGCTTCTGAACTTTCAACACCCCAGATGCTACTCACCATAGTAGGATGTAGAGCACTGTCTGTTTACAGGATTGCCTGTTTATTTTACTCAGAAAAACCTAATTGACTTATGGACTTCTTAGAACTAATTAAGTTTCCAACCTATAATATATAGTAATAGAACTGTGGTGGTGCTGGTGGTGGCTATGTAATTAGTTCTGACTTGTAGCGAACTTGCGTAGGGTTTCCAAAGCTATAAATCTCTACAGGGAGCAGAAAGCCTCATCTTTCTCGCATTGAACAACTCATAATTTTGAATTGCTGACCTTTAGGTTAGCCATAAGACTCGTAACCAGTAAGCTACCAAAGTTCCTTAGTAATAGAATTACAAAATAGATATCTGATTTTCTGGGCTATTGTTCATCTATCTAGTTTATGCATTAGTCCATTTCTCCTCATTGATACCACAGACTAGTGCTGAATCACAACTACCTTGTCTATTAATATCTTATCCTACTTTTACTCACAGAAAACACGTAAAGAAAACTTGACTATATGGCTTATCTGCCTTATTAGTCTGCTAGATTTCATTAGATGGAATATGGATCTGAGTTGTTTTGCTAATAC